GATGGATCATCTTGGAATTGGAGCAAGCTCTGAGAACAATCCAAGCTCCCAACAAATCCCACTCTGCCCATTAAACCAAGTCAGCAATTGCCACATTTCCTGGTTTTTAGGCATTTCCAGGGACAGTTCCAGTCCTTAATTTCTCTTCCAGTGGAGAGAAATTGTTCCTACAGGAACAGCTCTGCTGTTCCCTGCCACAAGCTCAGATCATCCTGGAATCAGAGCCAGCTCTGAGAACAATCCAAGCTCCCAAAAAATCCCATTAAGCCAGGTCAGCAATTGCCACCTTTCCTGGTGTTTGGGCATTTCCAGGGGTGGATCCAGTCCTTAAATTCTCTTCCAATGGAGAAATTGTTCCCAATCCCCACCACGAACCTCCCTCGGTGGTGGAATGGTGGGACAAGAGAAGAACAAGACAACGCTGCACAATTCCCCCCTTTGCCGAGTGCCCAACGGGACGTGAAGAGGATTTTTTTGGGATGAAATATCAAGGAGAGGACACAGAGCCTCCATTCCCACCTTGAATACTCACCTGGGGGTTTTCCAGTATCCTTTTCACTCCATCCACCAGGTGAGATAAGAACTTGGCCCTCTCGGCGTTGTTGAAGAGCGAGCGGCGCACGGAGGCGATCTGCACCAAGCACGACAAAACCTGCCACAAAAACCAGGAATAAACCCCAAAACTGGGATGAAAACAAGGAAATGAACACATTTTCCCCTCATGGCACCAGCAGGGATTGAGGTTTGGAGCTGCTTTAGGGACCAAACAGCTCCTTTGTCTCCGCAGCGGAGAAAGAAATCACAGCAGGCAAAGGAGCAGGAAAAATCCCCCAAAAATCCCCAAAAATCTCCAAAATCCCAGAATTATGGAATTGTAGAGGTTGGAAAAGCTCTCCAAGGTCAGAATCCAACCTTTGATCCCCACCTTGGCACCCAGCCCAGAGCTCTGAGTGCCAGGTCCAGGGATGGGCATCCCAATCCTTGATCCCAATGGAACCATTTCAGATTTCCATTCAAAAAAAGGGTTCAGTTTTTTTATAAAAAAAGAATTCTCCCACCTCAAATCTCTCCTGCAGGCTCAAAATTCAGGATTAGCCAATAACTCCACCAGAAAAAGTGGAGTCTCCATGGAAAAATTCTTTCTGAAGGCCCTTCCCTCTCAACCTTGTTTTCATTGAGCTTTAATTATGGGAAAAATTTATCAGATAAATGTCTGAAATGGCTTTAAAAAAAAAAATTCCAGAAAAAATAATCCAAATTTTAACTCAGTTGTGCTTTTGTCCCTCTCATCCCAATGGGACATGGCCAAGTTTGGAAGAGTGTGTGTTCCTTGGTGTGTTCCCTACTCCTGGTGTGGTTTTTAGGACTTTTTTTTTTGGGGAATTAAAGAGGATGAGCAAACAGAAGATTCCAAGTTGAGTAAGGAGAAAGGAGGTTGGAATTCCAGACCAAAAAAAAAAAAAAAAAAAGTGTTTTTTTAGGGAAAATCCAACCTTGGAGATGCTTCAAAACTCTCAGCAGCACTTCAGCACAAGCTGAATCCCCAGGGAATCTCCCAGCTGAACCCTAAAATAAAGGAAAATAAATCCTGGACTTACCAGAGGAGAAAATGAAGGAGGGATGGAATGATAAAGATCAAAAAACAACTGAAGGGTCGAAGAATCCAAGAATGCTGCAAGAAAAAAAAAAAAGAAGATTTTACTTCTATTTCCAGCTTCCCACAGATTTCATCCTTATTTTATCATCACAAATCCCAAGAAAAATTTCTCCCAGGATTTTTTATTTTTAACACAAAATGCCTTTCCTAGAAATGGAGTCACCCACTGGAGCCTGGAAGGGGGAGAAGATGACAGGAAGGTATTTTAGGAACACAATCTGTGCTTGTCAAATGCCTGCTGGGAACAGCAGGATGGGGGGAAAAGGTGCCAAATTATTCTCTAATTAAAAAAAAAAAAAAAAA